AAAAAAATTGGGAAAATTGAAAAAACCGAAATGAAATTAATTTGTATAATCAATAAACAAATCATAAATTCCATAGAAAAAAAAAAAAAAACCAATGCAAATAATTATGGATTAATTGACCTTTAATTTTTTTAAATTTTTTTTTTTATTTTGACTAACATGTATTAAGCTTCTAAATTTAACTTTAAACATGTCAATGGAAAACATATTGTACATAAAATAATATATAGTATTGTTATAGCTGAAATTTGAAAAAAATAAATAAGACCATTTAATTTCTTGCTATGTGTGACAGTAGAGTCCTCCTTTCAAACAGGGCTGTCAATGCTTATGTTTTGGTTAATTGATATTAGACTGTGATGCTTCTTGATTATTCGGGTGTGATTGTGACTTGATGGGTTTAGAAAGTAGAATAAAAAATCTGCTTCAGATGGTTTTGAACGAAGCATTATAAAAGCATTACTTAATAATAGCATCCACCTGTCAATATGGGACGTGGGTGGAGACTTCGCACTACGAAATCACAAGGCTTGTGCTTTTTTTTTGGATATATAATCTAATTTTCCATGCAGCAAATCGGCTAAACGCATTTGGATAACTCAAGAGAACATGTTTGTACTAATAGAATTTAAAATCGCATCAAATTTTAGAAAGACGCATATTCCATTCTTCACTTTTGATTTTTAAAATTATGAAATGAAAAGTGTCGATTGCTTTTGATCAAAAAAATGTTCTTCGATTATTTTTTGTTAGATTATTGTTAAGGAATGAAATATACGCCTCATGTGCAAGTGAAAGTAAAGAGAAAATCCCCATAAACCTTCTGGATTCCAGGAATTTCCAATTCTGACATGGAATTCCCGTTTTTATGTGTAGCTTTGTATACGTCCGCTTTGAGGTATATTTGTCAACCATCTGTTGTTTTTTTAAATTTCTTTAAAGTGTTAACACATTTAAATGATATATAACAATAGTTTTTTTTATAATTAATTCCCAAATTTCAACATAAATCATGACATTTTTACTTTACATAGGCATAATTCTAAATCAATCGCTCATTTTGAAAACGCACAATTCATGGACAATGTGTGTTAGGTTAACTAGACTTTGAAACATCTATTGATTGTATGTATAGATACTTACATTTGATCATTCTTTTATGATACATGTAACATATGCATAATTCTAAGTTTAGTTTAGTAATAAGATCATGGAACAGTAGATTATTTATAAACCCTTATCAAAATTAACAACAAATAATTATTTTATTAGTAATTAATTTTTAAAAAAATTAAATTAAAAATGTTTGTTTGTTTGTGTTATTATCTCGTCTAAGTTTGATCATTTGTTTGTGTGTAAGAATGTAAAAAGTTTTATGTTAGTTTTTAGCTCTATGCGGAAATGTGCACCCTAAAGAAATACTGAACTTGTCTTGTGTTTAAATTGTTATTAAAGTAAAATATTTTCTTGGTTAAAATATGTTTTTATTTATGTGCAGAAAATATATGTACAACGTAATAAAAATCTTTTAATTTACTTTGATCACTCAAATAAATTTCTAGCACTTAATCGTTGATTTCATGTGCTTGTCTAAAAGTTTAATTGTATGGGCATATTAGTATTTCTTGTGTAAGAAATACAAATTTTTTTTTTTTAATTGTAATTGTAGATATCCAAAAATGGCAAGCAAATTAATGCAAAGTGAGCGATTTGTAAAAATGATCAATCAACACCTTGAAATACTCAACGATGAGAGGAGTACCGTGATAGACTCTGTCGACCATCGGATCAATCAGGTTCTTATCTATAGCAAACATATTTTTAAACAATTATTTAAAACTATTGTACAAAGTTTTTGTCTTTCATTAAAAAATAAGTCTTATATAAGTTCTTTAAAGTAAAAAGGTTACATAAAGCCATCTTTAACATGTTTATTTAAGGGTTATCTTGAATCTAATGTGTAGGTCCAAAGTGAAGTCAATGCTTGGATTAATGGCGGAAATATCAATCAAACAACTTTTATCGCGATGAATAACAGAATTCAGGAAAATCTAAGTCTTTTCCTTGAAATGTCTGCTGGACTCTCGGGTAATGTATATTACAATATATTTCTAAATGTTTGTTATAGATTTTAAATATCATTTAACTATATTAAAAAAGACAAATTCTTTATTTGACTGTGGGAATCCTAATCTCGTGAGTCCTCTTGGTGCTGGAAGACTAGCACCCTCAAATAAAACTTGTGCGCTTGTGTCCCAGTGTTAGTTGTAATGGTTTTGCTAATCTTTGATGAGATGAGTGTGCATTATTTGTTAGTGTGCACCATAATGGAGTGTGAACCAGATATCAGTTTGCAGCAGATTTGAGTGCGCAGAAAATGTTAGTGTGCACCAGACGTGAGAGTGCACCAGACATGGTTGTGTACCAGTGTAAGTGTGCAGTAGAAGTAAAAGTGCACCATAATTGAATGTGCATCTGTATCATTCTGTTAATGCAATTCTCTATTGGCATTTTCTATGACTTTGATAACGGCGTGCAGTCTTTGAGATGGAAACAACTTATTCATTTCAAAAAATATCTTAAATGTTAAGAGTTTATATTATGGTAAAATAAACAGCCTCCTGTATACACACAAATCATAGTTTCGGAGATTTATTCAATATTAAATAATCAGTAGGGTTGACAAATACATTGCAGAAACATGTCGGTGAGTACAGAAGTGTTGTGTTATGCAATTTGTTTGTCTCAATTCCTTAGATACTTCCTCTAGTATTAGGTTGGACTACATGCGCAAGATTGGGGCTTAAGCTCAATAGGTTAACATTAAGATATCTAATTTCCATCTCTTTATACGATGGTAGAAAATATAGGAAACAAAATAGAAGCTTAAAAATATTTAAGAAATGAAGTTGACAATAACTTGAAATGCTAGCTAAACATATGGAATGAAATTTAAGGAAGAACAATTTCCAAAAAAATTACTTAAAATTTCCTGCATGAAATAATGTATTTAAAAAAAAATCAGATTGTTTAATTCCTCATTCATTCAAACAAAACGGGAATACCATTAACTACATAAATGTGTATTTATCTAAACCAATAATTATATTTTATTTTTTAACTTCACATCTCAAGGCAAACAGATTGATGAACATGAAACTGATTTAAACAAAGAAAAAACAACCAACAATTTGACAAGTCCTGAAGCTGGTTTAAAAATCGATGACACCAAAACAGGACATTTATTTGAAAGTTTTGAAAATGTGCACAATCTTGGTAAATACATTTTTCCTAAACGGTATGAGTTTTATGATATATATCTAATTTTTATATATTTTAATGTAATAATTGTTAAATAAACATATGAAATAAGTATTTTTTTTTAGAAAACCATGCAAAATCATTCAATCCAATTTGTGTTAGAGACAATGCACGCTACAATATAACAAAATGACGAGTTCAATGTTAGTGTTGTGGATCAAATAATTTGAATATCATAGTCTAATATACAACAAACGATAAGAATAAAGCTTTTGATGAGAGTGACAACTATACTTCATCAATTTTTTTCTCTGGTTGCAACGAAATCAAGTACTAAAGACAGATCTCATAATACTTTTTAAAAATGCTCTATCTTCTTACAGGTGTATCTGTAGGATCCGACGCTTCTCATAACATGACGATGAGATTTGCCGTTCTAGAGGAAGCTGTATACTCACTCAAAAAGACAACAACAAAAGTTCAAGACAAATTAGGAAATGTCGAAAAGATGTTAAAAGATCTCTCGACTCAACAAGTAAATGATCATAAAAAAGTGGAAGTTTTAACAAACGCAACATTGAAGTCTGAGAAAAAGCTAAAGAATAAAATTACGGATCTAGAGAAAAGATACCAAGACATTAAAACAAATTTTGATAATATGTCTGAAACTGTAACAAATGTTGATGACAAATTAAACAGGTTAGAAGATGAACATAAGTCTGTGAATATCTCAATGAATGAACTCAATGAACAGATCAGCTCTGTTAGAACGTGTAGCAATGACGTCCTTATGTCTATACAAGATTTGTCAAAGAGCGTCGAGAGTACAAATCAACATTATAATGAAATGTCTGATAAAATGAATCAACTGGAAATCTCCATGAATCTCATGTCATCTCAGTTCACGGAGCAGTTTGAAAATATGAACAGTCTTAATAAAGATAAAACAGACGATTTGGTAAGCTTTGTAACACATGTTTTTAATTTGTTTTACAAAATATAATTTATGGAATACTTCCATATTTTTTTATTTTTATTTTCAATTGCAAAATGTCTATTTTATTTAACTTAAAATTAAGGTGTTTTTTTTTAAATGGTATATGAAATGTGTTCATTATGATAAATATAATGAACTTAATAATGTCAAATGTTAAGATTTTAATAAATTTGGATGATAAAAGTTTAAAATTAAAATCCCGTGTTAAAATCAAGTTCATTTTTAATTATATATCTAAAGTAACAACTTATACTAATTAATTAATAATGGTGTTTTGGCCGACATCAGATTTGTAATGGAGTGTGAGAATACGCTAGCACTGAGCTACATGTGTTTAGTTGCGTCATTTCCTTAACTTACAACTCGCCTTCCGAAATGAACTACTTAAATTCAAGTCCGCTTTTAACAAAAGGCCATTGCTTCTATCGGGCTGCAGGTGGGTGAGTAGCTGAGTTCATCTGAACCATCAGCAAAACTAACAGTGTCTTATGCTATAAAAGTGTCTTATGTAATGACATTGTCTTATGCAATAACAGTTTCTTAAGCAAAACAGTGCCTAATGCAATAACAGTGTCTGATGCAATAACAATGTCTTATGCAATAACAAATGTCTTATGCAATAACAATATCTTATTCAATAACAGTATCTAAATGGTATGTTTAAAATAAATATGGTTTATTTTAAATACTACTAATACAAAAGTTTCCACCAAATTATCCTTTTTTTTTTTTTCACCGGTCCGTTTTTAAAAAAAAAATTATTGTTCCGAAATTAATCCATTCTGCTACTGTCAAAATAAAACCCCATGCCTTCTGATTATAACTGGTCAAGTATTGTAAAATTTATGAATTATATTTTTTATCTTTGATTTCAAGAATGAAGAATTCCTATCTAATTTTATACATAAAAATAATTATTAATAAATATAATTAAACAAAATAAAACGTACTTAAATACAACATATGATCTGTGTTTTATTTACGATTTTGTTTTCTCTTTTCTGGAACAAAATGTGCAGAAACTCGAACTAGTTAGTGTAATGTATATTTACATAAGGTCTCTGAACGACTGAAATGAACTTTGAGATGCATCTATAATTATATTTGCTTGTTACACAGATTGGTTTGGTTTGTCAACTGTTATCAAAAAGACTGACTCCCTTGGAAAAATTAAATGAGACACTAAACAAGAAAGTCAACTCAGGCGATAAACAACTTTCAGAGGTATTGTGTTTTATTCAAATGTTAGTAGAAATATGAAAACATTATTTTATAAATATAAAACGGTCTATATTGTTAAAAACAATGCAGAGTTGTGTTTTTTTTTATTTAAAGTTTAATAATATATTTCTACTTTTTTCATTTACAGAAAGTTTCCAGTGATAATCTTGTTCCTGAAAAGTCTCACACAATTACTGAAATCGGTAAGATATTAGCTAAAGTTAATCTTAATAAACGATTTCGGTTTACGACTTCCAATTATCATCTGATTTATTTTTAATCACTTAGCTGTAAATATCAACATATTATATTAACATGTAAACTGTGGTATTTCGCTATCTCCCTTGTTCGCTGTTGTGGGAAAGTAAGTGTGCGGGAGCGGGAGTGAGTTTTTGTGTATTCGTGGAGTTTTTTGTTTGTTTTGGGTATCTTTAAAACTCAGTAGTTTATTTATGTCACTGTATGATTTTAGCAATTATATTTGGTTATCAGCATTTATTTGAACATAACAATTCTAGATTACATCAGACCAATGGCTAAAAGAACATTTCTTAAATATAATACGTTAGACTTATTTATGTATGAAATAAAATTTTGCTTCAATAGTTGCATTGCAATTTACAAGTATTAAGAAAATAACTGTTTTTTTTAAATAAAGTTCTTGAAAAATCTTTTAAAAACTATATCCTATTAATTTTGTCTAAAATCAAATCAATAGAAAGTACACATAAAATTTGGTCTACATTTGTCCAGTTCAAGAATTAGAGTCGAGGATTTACGGGATAATATGATCGAAAAGATGTGTTTAAAAAGAGGACTCTGTATAGTGATTTGATGAGAGATTATATGAGCTGGGAACGATTGTGTAAGTGTACATGTAAGATGAGAGCCGTCAAGCTGATAGTGTAAGGTTAATACAACAACAAGAGACAGTGTAATTTGGAGACAAATGCAAGTAATAGTGTAATGGCGAGATAAAAAAAAATAAGTTGTGGAATGGGCAGACAACGAAAATTGGTAGCAGACTGTGGAAAAAAGACAAGGCATAGTGTGATAGGAAAACGAAGTCTAGTGAGAGTGTAATGATGAGATAAAGAAAAGGGATAGTTTAATGGCAAGACGAAGACAAGTGATTGTGTAATGTGGAAACAAAAGTATGGGATAGTGAAATGAGGAGAGATATACAACGGATTGCCTTTGAGGAGAGGATGACAATGGATATTATAGAAAAAAGAAAGTTTCATACGGAGACCAATGCAAGCGATTGGTGTCATAACGGTTTGTTTTAAAATCAGCCTAATTTTTATTTTTTTTAAACTAAAGACACCCTTATTTCTTCCATTTCTGTATAAAAAAAAACTTCAATTAAAAAAACATCCACGAAAATGTATAATTCTCATATTTAATCTTATCTGTAGAAATATGTTAAAACTGATTTTTTTTTTAAATTGAGCATAAATACTGTATAAATGTGCACTATGTGTTTACTCTTACAACCTAGATACCCCGCTGCGTAAATTAATATTAAAGATGTTCTTAAAATTCATATTTTCTTCCTTTTATTACAGAACGTAAGTGCAATCTCCCCAAGGTCGGATTCGTAGCCTGTAAAGTACTATATAAAAATGTGAAAAATTGCGATTTGACGTCGTATAATTCTGTTGATTGTAACCACGGAGGACACTTTGAAAAATCGACTGGTATATTCACTGCTCCTCTCAATGGCTTGTACTTAATATCCATTATGACAACAAATCAGTCTAGTAGTGAAAAAAATGTAATTAATTGTTGCAAGATTTACAGAGATACAGTAACTGAAACTATACTCTTTTCTATGGCTTCAAAGAACCAAACAGAAACATGGTGTGCTGAAATAGCGGCAGGGGAAAAACTATATTTGGAATGGAAGCAATTTGATGAGCATGATACGAACAGGATGAATGTAAGGTTTTCATGTTACCTGATACAAACGTGGACATAATTTTGCTACCTGGTGTAATATAATACATAATATTAGACCAACATCCACTACACTTTGAAAAGTATTTGATAGTTTCATGGTCAATCCAAGTTACAATCTCAAGCAATACATTTGTTAAACAGTTGCTTCATATTCCATTCTTGTCCAACATCCGAGATTTCAACAAAAAAAAATTGTCTTTGTCCACGTTATGTATTGAAGTATAACCAATATGTTAGAATTGAACAGGAATATTACTGAAACATTTGACCTGATATTGAAAGCCGACGTGTTTAACTGGGCTAACATTTGAGACGAGGTCGGACATCTGCAGCTTGGGAAACAGTTGAGACTTCATATAGTAATACTTACTTTAAAGCTTCTCCAGAGGATATTTTAGAGTAAATAAACAATGGTTTCCTAGCGTTAGACAAACGCCGTCTGACATATGAATGAAATTATCTCTTTACCACAACGGCATTAAAGTATGATATTTTTATTTCTATATCACCCTCACCGCATACCAGACCATATGAAGTGTTTATTTTTATATCACCCTCACCGAATACCAGACCATATGAAGTGTTTATTTCTATATCACCCTCACCGCATACCAGACCATATGAAGTGTTTATTTTTATATTACCATCACCACATAACAGACCATATGAAGTGTTTATTTTTATATTACCATCACCACATAACAGACCATATGAAGTGTTTATTTTTATATTACCATCACCACATAACAGACCATATGAAGTGTTTATTTTTATATTACCATTACCACTTAACAGATCATATACAAATGTTTATATCTATATCATCATTTCCACATCTTAAATAAAAATATATTTATATTAGGGGCTGGCCTTTTTTATGCTTGAAATGTATTACACGTGGTAATGTAAGGTCCAGAGAAAACATTAAATTTGAACTGAATGAAAAATAATTACGGACGCTAAGGGATAACAGCTGGCAATTTGCAAATTAAATTATAACTGTATCATTAATTGAGCTATTTTGGCCGAATATTTTAAGATACATGAGCTATTTGTTACACTTTTAATACAGTGTAAGCTTGAATTTGAATACCCATTATTAAAACGATAAACACAATGGTGTGTTTTGGACTGTTTGTTATCTTACGTCTGGTCTATTTCCTGGGTTAATGAAACTGTCTTTTTTATTAATTAAAAAGACAAAATCTCTGGCAATTGTAAGCCCATATTAATATGTCAACGTTACATTTTTACTTAACTTTTTAAAATCATAACTTGGCCATTTAATGTGAATTGTTTTTTTATCACGTAAGATGTCCCATTAAAATTGGAAATGTTTCTCACGAGACAAATTTTAATATTTTCTTTGATAATTTTCTAATATGTTTAAAATGGTTCTACTTTTAAGTAAAATGTGTGCACCTAATTGTTTTGGCTCAAATGCAAGACTGAAAATTTATATACGTTTTTTTTAAAAAATTTTAGGGTTAAGAATTTTAACTTTAATATACTTGATATGGCACCTATTAAATATATAAATTACTGACCTGACTCTGACCTCGGCACTCATTCAATTTCCACTTTTTAAACGTTACTTTAAATTTATACTATTGATAAAGATCATTTTTTTATTGAAATTATATTTTTAAAATGTTTTGGCCTCCGATGGATGTAATTTTCAATTGCTCTTTACTATCCGTGAAATCGCATAGGTTATGTAATGTTTTTTTTTATCAAACCAAGGTTCGCCCACAGTAAATAACATTACTATTTTAACTATTAACACTGGAAACCTGTAACAATTTAGGACTTTCTCTGTTACCAAGTATATTTACCAAAAATAATTACAAAAGTGTCCACTTTAAGAGATACCTTAAAAATAATATGGACCTGCCTTTTTTATTTGCATCAAAATGTATGTACATTTTTAAAAAATAATATCCTGAAATATATTTATTTAATGGATTTTATTTATTTAATGGATTTTGATAGAGATCCTCTCTGTGTTTGATCTTTGGAAATTTTTAAAAAAAAAAAAAAAAAAAAACTTTTTGTGCTTTTATCATTTCCATCATTTTGATTGGGCCCAACTCGGGAATCCTCAACCAATTTAAAGATTTAAAATAAATCATGAATAAAGGATTTGAAATGACGAACAATTAAATGCCTACTTGTGCTTGGGTATCTACACCTGGTTAGGCCCTCGATCCGATCCCCGTCCCACTACTTGTAAATGCCTGGACGTCCTCCTCCCAGCACTCACCTCCATTATAAATTCTTCTATTCTCTCTTGCATCTTCCCTCCCATTTTTAAACGGTCGATAGTCCTGCCACTCCTAAAGAAACCCTCACTTGACACAAACACACTCAAGAATTACCGCCCCGTCAGTAACCTGTCCTTTCTCTCAAAAATTATAGAAAAACTCGAACTCTCAGCTCTCTAACATCTTCACTCTCACAATCTCTATCTGTCCTCTCAGTCCGACTACCGACTTGGTCATAGCACAGAAATAGCACTGGTCCGAGTCATGAGCGACCTCCTGTTGGCGATGGGCGGTTGCAAACTCTCTATTCTCACTCCGTTAGATCTCTCTGCTGCATTCGATACAATTGACCACCAGATTCTTCTTGAACGTCTTCATCTTTCTTTCGGACTTAGTGGCTCAGCTCTAAACTGGTTTCAATCTTATCTTTCTGACATAACTCAAACGGTCTCTATCTCCAACCGCTCCTCCAAACCTTCAGCCCTGTCTATTGGAGTTCCTCAAGGATCGGTCCTTGGGCCGGTCCTTTTCATCCTCTACACTAAACCTCTATCATTTCTCATTAGCCACCACTCAGTTTCCAGTCAATCCTTGCTGATAACACTCAAATCAGTGACTCTTGCTTTCCTGATCAACTTGATGCCACAATCCTTCGCATACAGGAGTGCGTGGACGACGTAAAGCGTTGGATGACTTGCAACAAACTGAAGCTAGATGATGATAAAACGGAAATCCTTCTCATCAACTCTCAAAACAAACCTCTCCCTCCATCCGCTCCTTCTTCTATATATATCGGCAACTCTGACATCACACTCTCTTCCTCTGCCAGAAATCTTGGAGTCACGCTTACAGACACACTCTCCATGGACAAACATGTCATGAACATATGTAGATCAGCATACAACTAAATTAGAAAAATCAGCACCATTAGACACCTCTTATTTGATGCCACAAAAACTCTCGTCTCTTAACTCATTCTTTCAAAATTTGACTACTGTAACACTCTTCTCTCAGGCATTCCTCAACACCACATAGACAAACTTCAAAAGGCTCAGAACTCAGCATGCAGACTCATTTTTAAATCAAAAAAACATGACCACATTCAACCACACGTGCAGAAACTCCACTGGCTTCAAATATCCTCTCGAATCAAGTATAAGTCTGCCAATCTATGCTTCAACTCTTTCACTGACCCTCACTTTCCTGTCTATTTCTCTGAACTGTTGCTTCCTTACATCCCCACAAGACAACTACGCTCTTCAACTGACAATAGAACCCTCTCAATTTCAAAATCCAAACTAAGACCATCGGTGAACGCTCCTTCTACTTCCATGTGCCCACGTTCTGGAACCAGCTCCCCTTCCACATCCGTCATTGTGAAAACTCGTCCACTTTCAAAAAGTCCCTTAAAACCCATCTGTTTAGGTCCGCCTATGACTTGTGATGCACCCTCCTTGCGCTGCCTCATTTTCTGTCTCGGGTTGATCCTGTATTTAAGCACATGCCAAAACGTGCCAAATGTACTTGTTTTTATAGCCATTTTAATGTTTTAGCTACATGTTTTTATAGTCATTTTTCACATTGTAGTTACTTTTCTAATGTCTCTGGTTTTTCATTTTTATTTTGCTTTATCAGTTAAAATAGTTTACATATTTTTAATAATTGTAAGGCGCTTAGAGCTGTAAGGTAAGCGCTATACAAAAATGCCAAAATAATAATAATAATAATAATAATAATAATATTTAGTGATACATTTAATTATATTTAATGGGGTACCCTCAATTCAATTACAACAGTTAACACTGGGAACACTATATTCAATAACAGTGGTTAATTTTGGTGTTGACTTTTTTCAAATACAACAGTTAACACTGGGGTAACTCAATTCAATTACAACAGTTAACACTGGGGTCACTCAATTCAATTACAACAGTTAACACTGGGGTCACTCAATTCAATTACAACAGTTAACACTGGGGTCACTCAATTCAATTACAACAGTTAACACTGGGGTCACTCAATTCAATTACAACAGTTAACACTGGGGTCACTCAATTCAATTACAACAGTTAACACTGGGGTCACTCAATTCAATTACAACAGTTAACACTGGGGTCACTCAATTCAATTACAACGGTTAACACTGGGGTCACGGAACCCATGTAATTTGTGCGATTGTTACCTTGACTTTTTATCTAGAGGATTTAGATACACTGTTCCTACGCAAGATAATTGATAATATTTGAATTACTTCCGCAAGCTGCAAGAACGAAATAATTGATAAGAAACCTTTGTCCTTGGCTTTTTAAAAATTCTTCTTGAGGTTATTCTAATATTAAAAAAAAGGAAATATATTACATAAAATAAAAAATAATAATAATAAAATTTGGTTTTCTTTTTACATTTTTACTCTCCCATTTAAGTGTAAACTCTTTAGACTATTTTAGACGTTATATTGAAATTTTAACTCTTCTTCTATATATTAAGGTCCCACGATTAATCTATTGATCATTCTTGCTCCCATGCATGTAGAGCGCGTTCGCAATGTTTCTGTGCCTGGTGCTGCTGAAGATATTTCAATGACTACAAGGGCTACTTTGTTACGGTATCATGCGCTGGTGGTTGGAAGGCCTGAGGAAATGGACGCAAATGTGTCAAGTGTTGTCGCTTCAACTGTGCCTGTTGGACTTGTATACCCCTCCATTTCTCTAGAAATAGACAATTGTTATGTTAGATTTGAGCCAATGTAATCCTGAAAAGTACCGGCATATCAGCTAATGATGAGTTGGTTTTGTTTTTTTGTCTATTTATGCAGATGGGATTATGCGTAAATCATTTATGTAGATGCGTTGTATTGGTGTAAATGCTTGTATAATATGTGTGGCATAATTTTTATGTTGATGTATTTGTATTTGTGTATAAATGTGTGTGTATTTGAAAGCTTATGGGAATGTGTGTATATGTGGGTGTACAATTTAACGATATGAGACAATTAGTTTTTAATAAAATTCGATTTTGGTAACACTAGCTGTGAACTTAATTATTGTTTTAAAAAGGCAACATTGCAAAACGTACGCTAATCATTGACGTTCTATGTGACACACCACTTTTTTTTTAACTGAAGAGGCCAAGAAATATTTACTAAAGTCAGTGCAACTCTATCTGACCATCCCGGCATTTTACTGCATTAATATTTAAAGGTTAAATTATAATGTATTTTGTTTCTGTTTTATTTTAAGCATACAATAAAAAAAAATTTTGCAATGTAATTGTAAATGCTGAAAAGTTTCTTCTTCGGAGTTTATTTAAAATCATTGTTAAATTTAAGGTAGATTTGCAAGGACAAAACAAAAAATCATTGACAACATCTCTAAAGAATCACGAAGAACTTAAACGTAGACTTAGATAACCCTTTTACCTTTCAGCAGGATCTGTATTTAGTTGTAGATCTATTCGAATTGAAATTATGTGTGTGGGGACTGGGTTGGTTTAATTAGATAATCAGGAAAAGAGAGACAGGAAAAAAAAAAGAGACACACAGAAGGTAAGTCAAAAGACAACGAGAAAGAAACAGGGAGATGGGTGGGGGAGACACTGTGTAGATATACATTTTATATTGCTGTATACGAATTTAGAAATTTACAACTTAAGGGAAATTTAAAGCAAATTAAAGACAACTTATCCTTCCCACTCTACCAGTATCACAATGAAATTAACCTTCACTGGCTGCACTGAAAATATTATTTTTGTATTTATCTGGAGCAGTTAAATTTATATATATATATAGATAGATAGATAGATAGATAGATAGATAGATAGATAGATAGATAGATAGATAGATAGATAGATAGATAGATAGATAGATAGATAGATAGATAGATAGATAGATAGATAGAT